AAAAAAAAAAAAGTTATAAAAATAAAAAAAAGTAATAATAAATTTTATTTATTTTAAAAAAAGAAAAAACAAATTAAGATTTTTTTTTTTAAAAAAAAATAAGAAATAAATATGAGTAAAAAAGCAAGTATAGCGAACTTATTAAATGATAATAATCACATATCATCTATATCATCTGAACCTCAAAATTTGACAAACGCGACAAGTTTAAATAAAAAACCATCATCATCATCATCATCATCGTCGTCGTCTTTGTCATCACATCAACAACATCAACAACATCAACAACAACATCATCAACATCATCAACATCATCATCAACACCATCAATACCAACAACATCATCAACAACATTATCAACCACATCATTATCATCATCCTAACAATACCACTACATCCGCCCCTATTCCTACCAGATTAAATTATTCACCTCGTTCACCTGATACAAGAATCGGTGTACAAATTGTTGCAAATGGTGATCTAACATTCAACCAACCTGTATGTATTCTTATTTTATTAATTCTTTCCTTTTTTTTTTTAATAGTAAATAATCCTTTTCATTTTAGTTTGCTCATCAATTTTCCGAATTTTCCGGTAATTGGATATCACCTCTACATCCTCTTTATACATACGATCCTCTACCTGAAGCATTAAGAAAATCTAAAAAAAAATCTCATAAAAGAACCAATGATATAATTGATACTCCTCCTCCCCCTTTATCGGAAAATCTTTCAGAAAATAATACTACTACTACAATACGTCCTAAACGTAATTATACAAAAAAACCTCTTGATAGGTTAAAAAGACCAAGAAATGGTTATATGATATATATGAATGAAGTTTATGATGATGTTAAACGTAAACATCCTAATTTAAAATTCGGTGAATTAAGTTCTTTAATTGGTGTTCAATGGAAAGAGATGTCCAAAGCTCAACAAATGGTAATCATTTTATATGTATATATTATCTATTCTTTTTTTTTTTTTTTCTAAAAAAAAATTTTTTTTTTTTATTAGCCTTATCATCAAAAACATGAAGAAGAAAAAGCCGCTTATGAAGCAGCAAAATTAGCCATGTCGAGAACAAATTTACAAATTGTTGAAGAAACGATTGATATTGAACAACAAGTTAAGGCTGCTGAATTAAGAGCTTCACAACCAAAAAATAAATCAAATAAACGTTCAGATCATTCAAACGTAGGAAAACAAAAATCTAGTACTCAACAACAGAATAATAATAATAATAATAATAATAATAATAATAATAATCAAGCTTCTAAATCTAAAGAAAATCCTTTTGTTATTCCAAACGTAGAACCACCTGAAACTATTTCAACTTATATAGTTACAGATAGATCAAAAACTAATAAATTAAGACATGGTATTCCAATCACACCAACTTCACCGGATTTTAGCGATATAACAAAAAAACTTGCAACTCCTACTCAACCAATAGCAAGTTTAACAAGGCGAAGGACTTCTTTTAATCAATCTTCACGTGAATCTAAAAGAGATGAATATTTTAAAAAACATTTTCCAGAAACCGATAAATTAATTGGAGATGATAAAATTGTTGAAGGAAATAAGGATTCATGTACTGGCGGTCTTCAACAATCTGATGAGAAAATTATATCAATGTCTATTTCTTCCCCTGATGAGAACATGTCAGATTATGAGGATGATGAGGAAGAAGTAGATCAATTACAACCAAGTGATCGATCTGATTCTGAAATGGAAGGAGTTGAAGTTTTCAGTAAATCTTTATCAAATAGTAATCATATTAATAATATTATTAGTAAATCATCTACGGAAACATCAAGTCGAAAAAATGGAAATGGTGATTTAATGTCAATTGATACGTCAAATATTTGGCTTTTACCAATTGAAGGTACAACAGTTTCACCTGGATTAACTCCTCACAGGAAACGAAAAATTATTATAATAGAAGATTCAGATGATGATAAGTTTAACTCTAAGATATTAGATATAGATAATTCAAAAAAGTGCAAGAATAATATTTGAATTTTTTGGATTCTTATGTAATATATTAGAGAGTTATAAAGATAAAGATAAAGATAAAGATAAAGTTATATAAAAAAATTGACATTTTTTTTTCTGTAAAATAACTTTTTTTTTATTCTTATCAGAAATCTAAAAAAAAAAAAAATTAAAAAAATTCAAGATAATGCTTGATGATTCTATAACATTTTTAATGGTGATACGAAAAAAATCAAAAAAATTCAAGATAATGCTTGATGATTCTATAACATTTTAATGGTGATACGAAAAAAATTGAAAAAATTCAAGATAATGCTTGATGATTCTATAACATTTTAATGGTGATACGAAAAAAATTGATCAGATAAATTAAAAAGGTGAAAGTTTCAGAAATGTTTCAGTCTAATATAAAACTTGCATCCCAAACATTTCCCTTGATTCGTTAAAATTACTAAAGTATAATCAACGCATATAAACATGCCGATTTTCGGAATTTTATACATAAAACAAGATCATCAAAGTCCGAAAATTTGTGTAAGGAATTATTATTATAGGTTAATAAATGAACCTTTATATATGGAGAAATAAATCAGTTTGGAAAATATTCGTCAATCATGTACTGTAAATATATATTATATATATATATATATATATATATTATGTACTGTATATGCAATTCTTGGATCCGATAATCCTTTAGTGTATAAAGATAATGAGGTCGTTAAAAGAGATCTTGCATATTTAAACAATACAAATAAATATATATTTGTAATTGATATGTTTATAATTTATAATTTATTTATAAATAAAATTTTTTTGATGATAATGAATATGATTTGATTGATATAATCAAGAATTTTATGTCGAGCAATAGAAAAAAAAAAAAAAAAAAAATTTTTTTTTGATTATTCATGTGCCAGTTGTGATACAATCATGGAAAACCGAACGGGTTTTCCTAAAAAAAAATTTTTAGGAATGTAAACAAATACCAAATTCGTATAGATAATAAAACTTTGGACGTGTGTAGGTATGTTTTAAGAAATTATTTTTCAATTATATAGAATAATATAAACATGGCATGATTTTTAATTATTAAATTCTTTTCATTTTTTTTTTTTTTTCACACATTACTGTATAAATATCAAACATATGAATATTAATAATTGAAACAATGAATTATAACATAATTAATTAAAAATTAATTAAATTATTTTTAAAGTTTGAAATTTTTTAAAATATTAATCCCTTGAATTTTTTTTTAAAAAAGAGTCATATTGTCCCACCATAAAAAGCAATTCTATATTTCTATATCGATAATAAATTTATCCAAATGGATAAATGGATCAATTCAAAATCCCATCTATCTATTCTATATCTGATACGTTTATCTCCGGTAAAAAAAATTATGTGATACTAAAAAAACATTGAACAAATTGTTTTCGATGATATCAAACTTTCTATTTTTGTAAAGGAACTGGAAAAACTAAAGCTTGTTTAATGATAGAATTTTTTCCGAAAATGACATAATGACATAATGATAATGTAATGGTAACGGTAATTTCTTTAAAGCAATGATTTTTTACGAAAAGTAAAAAAAAACGGTACGACATTATCATTGAAATTGTAAAAACGAGAGGGAGAGAAAAGTTCAATTAATTAATTCCTAGAATTTTGGAAACCTGAAAAACCTGGAATATAAAAAACAATCTTTTAAGGTAAAAAAACAACACAAAAAAAAGATTGTTTTTGCCTTTATTTTTTATTTTTTTTTCTTTTTATTCATAAATATTTTTTTAAACACAATATTTATTTATCACCACACCCAATATTTATTGTATTAAATTAGATTAATATTTTATTTTTTCAATNTTTTTTTTTTTTTTTTTTTGGCAAAATATTTTTTGTGATACTAAAAAAACATTGAACAAATTGTTTTCGATGATATCAAACTTTCTATTTTTGTAAAGGAACTGGAAAAACTAAAGCTTGTTTAATGATAGAATTTTTTCCGAAAATGACATAATGACATAATGATAATGTAATGGTAACGGTAATTTCTTTAAAGCAATGATTTTTTACGAAAAGTAAAAAAAAACGGTACGACATTATCATTGAAATTGTAAAAACGAGAGGGAGAGAAAAGTTCAATTAATTAATTCCTAGAATTTTGGAAACCTGAAAAACCTGGAATATAAAAAACAATCTTTTAAGGTAAAAAAACAACACAAAAAAAAGATTGTTTTTGCCTTTATTTTTTATTTTTTTTTCTTTTTATTCATAAATATTTTTTTAAACACAATATTTATTTATCACCACACCCAATATTTATTGTATTAAATTAGATTAATATTTTATTTTTTCAATTTATTCATTCGAAATCCCTCCTCATCTTTGTAGAGATGAAAATTAAATAAAGATAATAAAGATGCTTTTTTCATTTTTTACGTCCAAGTGTATAGTATTTATTTTCAGTTAATAAATAAATTTCTCATATATCTCAATGTTTTTTTTTAATTATCATCTAGCATTGCATAAAATACCTACGAATAATGAGAATATTTTATTGAGATGTATGACCATTTTACCAGAATGTTTGAAGTATTCTTTAAAGGAGGATATTTAGAAAGTAATATTCAACAAATTACGCGGATTAATTCTACAAATTATGCGGACTGATGTCTAAAATACTCCTACAGTAGTATTCTACAAATTACACGGGTTGATTGTCTACTCCTAGAATATTTAGACAGTAATATTCTACAAATTACGCGGATTGATATCTACTCTCAGAGGTATTTTACACAGTAATATTCTACAAATTACACGGACTGTCTACTTCAGAGGTATTTTAGTATTCTACAAATTACACGGATTGATATCTACTCTCAGATGCATTTTAGACAGTAATATTTTACAAATTACGCAGATTAATGTCTACTTTCAGAGGTATTTTAGGCAGTAATATTCAACAAATTACACGGATTAATGTCTACTCTCCGAGGTATTTTGAGCAGTAATATTCAACAAATTACACGGATTAATGTCTACTCTCCGAGGATTTTGGGCAGTAATATTCAACAAATTACGCGGTAACATTCTACAAATTACACGGATTGATGTCTACCTGTCTCTTATACACATCTAGATGTGTATAAGAGACAGCAGTAATATTTTACAAATTACGCAGATTAATGTCTACTTTCAGAGGTATTTTAGGCAGTAATATTCAACAAATTACGCGGTAACATTCTACGAATTACACGGATTAATATCTATTTTAGACAGTAATATTTTACAAATTACGCGGATTAATGTCTACTCTCCGAGGTATTTTGGACAGTAATATTCAACAAATTACACGGATTAATGTCTACTCTCCGAGGTATTTTGAGCAGTAATATTCAACAAATTACACGGATTAATGTCTACTCTCCGAGGATTTTGGGCAGTAATATTCAACAAATTACGCGGTAACATTCTACAAATTACACGGATTGATGTCTACTCTCAGAGAAAGTTAATTAGAATCTACCTCATAGTTACGGGTGACACAAGAAATTTGAAAATACCACCTTAACCGGTAAAACACTATTCCTTTCATTCTCTACTAGTATCTTTTCTTTTATTTTATTAAAAAATATATTTAAATTTATTTAATTGTAATCAATTATTAATAAATAATAAGGATATCATCCAGTTTGTGGTTAAAAAACGCGATTATTAATACTTTGTAAATGATTGGGTAAGGGGAGAGGACGTTATAACTCCGAAACGCTTTTCAATTAGCATATGTATCTTCTATGTATATTGCAAAACAAATGATCAGAAAAACATTCATTCGTACTGTAACAGAATAATTTCGTTCATCGTCCGCGTAAAGTGCTGAAACAAGAGATAAGGGTAGATGTATTAGATTATTTATTATATTGATACTTATTCTTAGAAAATCAAGGACCACACGCACGCAATTAAGATTATTAAGATTTAAACTCTTGTTACGTGTGATCGGTAACATCCACCAAAAATATAAATATACATGATCTACATGATCCTGGCTGCACTATAAATGATATGCATCAATCTAATTTTCTGTTTTTGGACAAATTTACAAAATTTGTGAGACTTTGGGACGTCATTATTTATATGATTATAGATCACAGCGCAGTTAAAGTACAAAATTGCTAATCAAGTATTTTTTTCTTGTAAAATAATATTTAATAAAAATATTTTAATAAAAATATTATTATATACTATAATTACGCGACATACTATTAATATGAAATTTTATTTCTATTATTAATTCGTTTCAAGATTCGAATCAAAAAAAATCATCAATACTTTTAATACTTTTAATACTTTCAATACTTTTTCATAATTATCATGTTCACATAAAACATTCGTCAATTATATATAATATTAGTACTATTTTTTATTTTTTTTATACAGTATTTAGGGAGAAAAAAAAGGTAGATTTCATTAGTAATACCCTGATATAAATTAGTAATACCCTGATATAAATTACAGTATATAAATTTCAAATACCGGAAATTTGTCATCTTTATCACCTGATAATTTTGATAATTTAAATATTTAAGATATAAAATTTCAGCTGTCATAATCTTGGCTGGAATTAAAGAATCTGAATTTCAAATTAAGTTAAAAATAACTTCAAATGTACAATGCAATTTAAATTAGTAATTGGTTATTGTTCAGTCGATTAGGAATATGTGAAGTATTAGTAGCACTAATTTATTAGTGGGGTAGTTAGCACTAATTATTATTGGTCACTGCAGTATTCCTACTATGTATAAATTGGTTATTTCTGTCTTTGACTATTTCCTCATCCAATGATTATTTATTATTAATCGGATAAAATAATTCACATATCACAAATCGCAAATTATATTAACCATACTACACTGGTCGAAGTGGTATGGTTTCCACTATGGAAATCTTGGTATACGTGTCCAATTTACATAAAATTTCCATAACATTTCCACAAAAACTGGAAACTTCATTGAAATCTGGCGTACACCATGGAAATTGAACAGGTTTCCACCAAATTTTAATAGTATAAACTTCATGTAAACTAACCATATATCCCTTCGATCTGTGACTATAAAAATTTTTAAATTCAAACATAATTCGATTATTTAAAAAACATATGTCACATAATATCATGATTGCCTGTTTAAATATATATTATTTTAATCTCACTGGGAACAGTAACTTTATTAAGAAATAAAATTATACATAAACATAAAACATTTCTTTGATAGCACCTCATCCAACCAGCAGATGTATCCAGAGAGCATTAAATATATATATTATTAATA